TTCTTTATTTCAGTCAGTGTATGTTTAATTTCTAGTTGGTCCTTTATCACAACCTCAAGGGTCTCATTAGATTTCTTGAGGGTCTCATTAAGTTTATCAGCGGTTTCTAGAAAATTCTTGAAAAACCTTATAAGTGTGGTTTTGAACTCTATATCCAGTAGTTTGCTTCCCTCCATTTCTATCATTTGTGACCATTTTCTTCCATTCTGTCATTTGTGTCATTTTTGTCATTCTGTTTCTTTGTCTCTTCATTTTATATGCTTCTCTGTGTTGATAAAGTGGCTTTGTGTGCTAGGTGTCCTATAGGGCCCAGTGGCTCAGCCTACCCAGTTACCTGAGGTGGACACAATTGGTGCACCCCTTTGTCGGCTGTGTGCACAGTCTTGTTGTAGTTAAGCATTGATTGTTGTAGGTATCACTGGAAAGAATTGACCTCCAGGCCAATTGACTGTGAGAATCAGCTGTGTCTATGGTGGGAGAACTTCTTTGCTGAAGACACCCTTATGGGGCAAGACTTGCTTCAGTGGGACTTTGGTGCTCACTGAGTCTGCCCCCTGAGTGTGTCCCTTATGGATCTTAGGAGTTGTAATCTGGATGGTCCCACTCTGACCACTGGGTACACTGGCTCTTGGATCTAAGGAGGTGCTAATTTAGCCTCTGCCTGGGCTACCCAGCAGGAGCTGCGAAGAGATATGCAGATTTCCCTTCTTTGTTTGGGGTTTGGAGGTGCCCAAATGAGGCCCAGCCGTGAAGCAATGCAAGCTGCTGTAGGGCCTTGGGCCTTCTCTTGGAAGTTCTGGGTCTGGCCCAGCTGCAGTTTGTTAGGTAATTTTCAGATTGCAAAGGGCCAGGGGATTCATATGCTCACGTCCACCTCCATACCTCTGCACTTTACTTCCGCAGCTCCTCTGAGTCTCAGTGTGCTTTTCTCTTTTCTTCTAGTTGTAGAATTTCCACTCAGCCAGCCTTCCTGTAGTTCTGGATAATGTCCGTTTTGTCTTTTAGTTGTATTTTTGAATTTGTTGTGGGAGGCAGCAATTTCCAGTGTTTACCTGTGCTGCCATCTTGGTTTCTCCAACAACAACTTTTTAACCATGTGATTTTGGCAAAGCAATAGAAGAGTCTTCTAGAATCAAAACACTAGGAAGAACTTCATAGTCTGACATTTATATACTTAATGGATTTTTAATGCCTCAAGACACTTATTATAGACAACATAGTCTTCCTGGTAGCAATAAGTAGATCCCCACCACCACCATCTATTCAGAAACTATATTTATTTATGTAATGTTGGTCTCATCATTTTAAGGGAGAAAACAAAAAAAATGAATTTTAATATATAACTTGGTCAAATATAATGCTGAAATCCTTTAGACTTGATGAACAAATTACTTCTTTTTTCTGTTAGGTTGTTCACATGGCCTTAATAAAAAATGCAGATCTATACAAATGACATTAATTTCACAGAGTATACAGATAAAATATCATTTAAGATTGCATACTGATTTATAGTCATAATCATTCAAAAGAAACAGCTGTCCTTCAGCACTCTGAGTGCCGAAGGGCCCACATAAGCTGCCTGAATCCAGCTGTTCAAATTCAGTTGTCACCCTTACTCTTTTCCTGTTTGGCATGAAGAGTCTTTAGCAAGTATCCTAATATAGGGTCTATAGAGATTAATGTCTTAATCCTTTGGGGGCAGATAATCTAAATTGGAATCATATCTCCCTTAGAAGTTACCAAATTAAAGTGCAAAATAAGTAACAGCTTAACTTTGTAATTATAATAGTCTAAATGTGCTCAGCTCTATATATGAGCTAGAGGCCTGATGCACAAAATTCGTGCAAGAGTAGGCCTTCCTTCCCCCGGCTGCTGGCACCGGCTTCCCTCTGGCACCCAGGCTTCCCTCCAGCACCCAGGACCCAGGCTTTGCTCTGGCCGCTGGTGGGCACCTGGGACCTGGGCTTCCCTTGCAACCCCGGCTTTGCTGGAAGGTCGTCCGGAAGGATGGCTGGTTCAATTAGTATATTATGCTTTTATTATTATAGACTAGAGGTCTGATGCATGAAATTCATGCAAGAGTATGCCTTCCTTCCACCAGCTTCCCTCTGGCTGGAAGGACTTCCAGAATGACATTCACAAGGACATCTGGTCTGATTAGCATATTATCCTTTTATTATTATAGAGGAGCCTTGTGTCAAGCCCTGCCTCCTGCTGATTGGTCATTATGCGTGAAGACGTGTGAAGATGTGATGACCATTTGCATATTGGCCTTTTATTATGATGATGATAATTTGGGGACAAACTTTTGACTAAGCATTTGAAATTAGAAAAACAGTTGAATGAATGTCATTTGTTAGAGCTATGCCGGTGCCTTGGAACCATTCATAATAATGATGCTTCACATTTTAGGATGTGACCTGAAATGGAAGAATTTAGAACATAAAACAGCCAGGACTGTGGCAAAGGAAAGCGGCTTCAAAGCAGCAAGCAAAGAAATACGGCGGGCAGAGAGAACGGCTAATAAACTGGCCAAGCCAGGAGTCAAAAATCCGAATCCACTCTGGGCCCTTCGGCTTCATGACTGGTCAGTAGAATGTGAGGCTATACTTCGGGAAGCCTTTTCGTTTGTGGACAAGGGCGATGGGACAGTCAGCAAGGAAGATTTTGTGTTAGTGCTGGAGGAGAGGCAGGACTTCATACCCTCGGATCAGCTGAACCTCATCGCTCAACTTAGTGAAAAAGTCCGGGGAGCAGGGGTCAACATTAATGATTTTTTTAAGGGAACCCGATATTTAAGCAAGACTTATGTCTTGGGATCCTATGGGCCTAAGAAAAAGAAAAAGGGAATAGCCAAAAAGGGGAAGAAAGGCAAGTTCATTTTACCCCTCCCGGTCTGCGTCATCCCTGACAATGCATTTCCACGCCGGAGTGATGGTGGGCCACCATATTACATGATTGAAACCTACAAGAATGTCACGGATTGCAATCGGTTTAATCGGGATCATCCGCCAGAACATCCCATTCAGGACGACTCTGCTTGGTACATTGATGATTCAGGGAACATATTTTCAAATATTAACTTTCTCACTAAGGCAGGAGACCTAGCTTCTCTGAAAAAGGCGTTTGAATCAGGCATACCGGTGGATATGAAGGATAATTATTACAAAACACCGCTAATGACTGCTTGTGCAAGTGGAAACATGGAAGTGGTCAAGTTTCTTCTTGAAAAAGGGTATGTTTTTGGTTGGGTGAGGTTTAAATTTTCATGAGTCTTCTGTTTCAAGAAAGTGATAGGAAAGCTAAGATACAATCAACTGCAGAATTTTAATAGCACAAGAAAGTGCTTCACTCCTGAAGCCTAGACTGCAGGTAGATCTTACTATTATAGGGGAAACCAAGCTCATGGGAACATAGGAATGTGTGTCCATGAAGATGGTTTGCCAATAACAACTATGCACAAAGTGAAAGTCAAGAAGTTTTCACTCTGATGGTAGAAGAAGCATTCTGATTGGGTAAAAGTTAATTTAGTGTCCGATCTTTACCTAGTTGATGTGGAGTTGCTTTTCATTTTACTTTAAACTTAAAAAAATTTATTGTGGTAAGAATATTACATGAGGTCTAGCCTCTTAACAAATATTAACTATCTGATATGGTATTATTAACTATAATTATACAGCAGATCTCTAGAATTTATTCATTTTATGTGGAGTCGCTTTTTAATCTGCTGTGTGTGTGTGTGTGTGTGTGTGTGTGTGTAGGGGAATCCCAACAAATTCCAATAAGTGAGATGTTGGCTATAATGACTAAAAACATTTTCATACCCTTCTCCAGAAAAAAAGCAGTCTTTCCCTTGGTTCATTTATAAATATATTTAAAATCTCAAAACATAATATTTTCATTTAACTTTTTAAAACTTAAATCTTTATTATTGAAATATTACATATGTACCCTTTTCCCCCCTATTCAACCCTTCTAGCCTGCCCTGCTTCCAACCCTAGCCCTTCACCACACTATTGTCTGTGTCCATGGGTTATGCATATATTCATACAAGTTCTTTGGTTGATCTCTTCCCACCCACCCCTCAAAGCCTTCCCTCTGAGATTCCAAAGTCTGTTCCAATTACTTTCAATTTGTTATTTCTCTAACTTTTTACAAATAAACTGCTAATAAGGAAGAAACATCTAAGCAAGTTTGTATCACTTCTCTTTTTAATCTAAAACAATTACTTGGGTTTAATTCCTCCTTTTACTATTGCTAAATAACCTGGGGTTAATTTCTTAACCTTTTTGTGCCTCAGTTTTCTCATTTTTACAATGGAGCCCTAATGGGACTCTGCTCACAGAATTCACTGAAGATAAAATTAGTTATGTAAAGCACTTATTGGCACAGTAATTACATACTTGATAAATTGTATCATTATTATTACTATACATGCAGAAATAGAATCAAAATGGAATAATATAACTCATATTTCCTGTCAGCTTTTTTCATTGGATTCAGGTTTTTCCTTTTCCTTGATTTTAACCTTTGCAAAATTATAACCACTAGGATCTTAAGTGCCTTTTAAAGCTAAGCAAAATGTATAGGTATACACAAAGCTAAGAGTGTCTGATAATGCAGAACACTTGTCAAGAAAATCATGACATAGAGTTTAACTTGACTCAGAGCTTCCTTGGTTTACAGTTGAATAAGTTGATAAAACTATGAAGTCTTAGCATTTTTAGCCTCCAGTGCTTGAAACAACCCATGTTTTTAGCTTGTGCATCTATCTTATCTTGTAGGGCTAATGTTAATGCCACAGATAATTTTCTGTGGACTCCACTTCACTTTGCATGCCATGCAGGCCAACAAGACATTGTTGAACTTCTCATTCAATCTGGAGCCGTGATAGATGCACTTTCAATCAACAACTCAACTCCTTTATTTCGAGCCATTGAGAGCTGTAGATTGGATACTGTCAAATACCTACTTGATATTGGTGCCAAATTCCAGCTGGAAAATAGAAAAGGTAGGTGTACATATTATTGGTGGTGAGAGTTAGAAAACAAGAATTTATGTTCAATTCCAAACCCCTTCTTATTCTATTCTTGTAGGACCACATTTCCCCCTGAAACATAAGTGCTTTGCAAATCACTGGTGTTAAAGGGCTCATTCTTTGTGTTGCAATCTTTCCTGGACTGATGTTTTTGCAGAATACAATAAAAAGTGATTTACTAGAAAAATGAAATGGGGGAAAAAAACACCCACAAAATACAAGTGCAAACTGTTTTACCAGATCTAATGACAGAATACTCTTCTATGAATTTGCTATAAAAATTTCCAAGTACTTACTCTTAACTCCTGTGCTTATTTCATTGTGGCCCAGTAACCTTTAGTTTGTGGACTTCACCAGTGTGCAAGTCATACCTTGAATTATCACACTGTTTAACTGTCACCCTATCTAATAAAAGAGAAACATGCAAATTGACCATAATCCTGACACCCTTCCCATTGGCTAATCAGGGCGATATGCAAATTAACTGCCAACCAAGATGGCAGCCGGCAGCCATGCAGCTGAAGCGAACAGGAGGCTTGCATACTCCAGTGACAGAGGAAGCCAACTTCCCCCCTGCCGCTGCTAGCCTCTGAGCTGCACTCTAAGCAACTATGTTGCAATTATAGAAGCTAAACAAGCTCCAGAGACCTGCTTTCAGCCAGCTTCGGCCTCAGAGCTTAGAGCTGCAGTGATGGCAACAGAGTTTCAATTATAGAAGCCAAACAAACCTAGAGACCTGCTTTCAGCCAGCTTCGGCCTCAGAGCTTAGAGCTGCAGTGATGGCAACAGAGTTTCAATTATAGAAGCCAAACAGACCCAGAACCCGCGTTTAGCCCTCAGAGCTGGAGCCGGCTCCCAGCTCCAGTGACAGCTATAGAAGGTAAATAAATCCCAGAAAAAAAAAAAAAAAAAGAAAAAAAGGAAAGGTTGGGAGCTTCAGTCACCTGCCAGCCTGAAAATGGCTCTCAGGCCCTCACCCAGACTGGCCAGGCACCCCAGTGGGAACCCCCACCCTGAAAGGTGTGTGACCAGCTGCAAACAGCCATCAGCCCATCATCCAGGCTGGCCAGGCACCCAAGCAGGACCCCCACCCTGATCCAGAACACCGTTCAGGGCAAACCAGCCGGCCCCCACCCGTGCACCAGGCCTCTATCCTATACTACAGGCAGGGCAGGACAGGGCGAGCTCCCATCTGAGCCCCATGTGCAGCCCTGGGCAGCGGGGCATAAGCCCCACCCCCAGCTGGGACCCCTGTGTGCCACCTGAGCCCCCAGCCAGGACCCTATGACTATTGGAGAGCAGGAAAGTGCTGCTGGGGCCTGGGTCGCTGTGGTGATCTGGCCATTGGTAAGTAGAAAAGTGTGGCCTGTAGGCAGCCCCCAGCTGGGCCTGATCTGGGAGCAGGAAAGCAAGCCCGGCCTGCGGGCAACCCCAAACTTGCCCTGCTCCCCGGTCGCCATGAGGATCTGAGAGCAGGAAAGCAAGCCTAGCCTGTGGGCAGCCCCAAGCTGGTCCTGGTATGGGAGCAGAAAAGCCTGGCCTGTGGACAGCCCCCAGCTGGGCCTGCTCCTGGTTGCTATGGAGACCTGGGAGCAGGAAAGCCCGGCTTGCAAGCAGCACCCCCATCCTGGCCATAACTCAAGGGAGAGTACAACATGCAGTGGAGGCCAGGAGCCTGAGAGATCAACACAGAGGGGCTCCTGCTCCAAGCCTCCATGGTGTGGCTGGGGGCAGACCCCCAGTGGGGACACACACACACACAGTGCCTGCTCTGAGCCTCTGCTGCCAGACTGTGGCTATCAGTAGGACATCCACTGAGGGCTCCCGGACTGTGAGAGGGGCAGGCTGGGCTGAGGGAACCCCCACCCCCAGTGCACGAATTTCGTGCACCAGGCCTCTAGTTTTCTAATAATTGGCATAGTTTACAGTCTCTGGATTTGGATTCCTTCTAAAGCTAGACAAAGTCATTTCTGAATTGAGGCTCTCTCTAGAAAATAAACAGAAGGCCTGTTTTATAAATATCACAAGTGAAGAATAAAAAATCACATGATTTAACATTTTAGCTTCTTACTTAGAGTTATCATTTTCTTATAGTGGAATCCATTCTTTTTTTTTTTTAATTTCAGAGAGGAAGAGAGATAGAAACATCAATGATGAGAGAGGATCATTGATTGGCTGCCTTCCCTACTGGAGATTGAGCCCACAACCCGGGCATGCACCCTTGACTGGAATTGAATGTGGGACCCTTCAGTCCGTAGGCTGATGCTCTATCCACTGAGCCAAACTAGCTAGGGCCCATTACTTCTTTTCTTAAAAATATATGTTTTGATTTAAGAGAGAGAGGATAAGAGAGGGATTATTTTTGAACAGAGAACATTAAACCTCTGGCTGCTTCAGGCTGCCTCTGAGTCATGGGTAGTATTGTGCTAGGCCTGCCCAAGGACATTACAGGTGTCACAAATCCTAGCCACCTGATTATAGCACTTGTGAGCATCAATTTCCCCAGACCTTTTAGAATATACCTCCTTACATAATGTAAAGGGGGGGACAACAGAAAGTTGTCACTGCTTGGAGTGAGAACCAGCAATCAGATATTCAAAATGTAATCTACCAATATTTTCTATCAACTTTTTAAGAAACATGCTTGAAAAAATTGTTTGGCCAGTATATGGAATTGTAATTATAAGATTTTAGAGTTGGGACCACCTTTGAGAATATTTGATCTAGCTCTGTGATCTTACATATACCATTTGCTTTAGAAACACCTTTACTAGCCCATGCTAGGGCTGCTGTGCTGAGATAAGATTTTTTCTACATTACTTATTATTAACTTGTTTATTATAGCTCTGAATTTTTGTTTTAAACAGGGCACACTCCCATGGATGTTGCAAAGGCATATGCTGACTCTAGAATAATTGGTTTGATTAAAGAAAAGCTAGATAACTTGCCAAAACCAACAGAAAGCCAAAAAATTTTGAAACCCAAGCCATCTATTAAAGTGAAAACTGAAGTTTCTGAAATTAAGAAAGAAGAGGTAAGAAAAACAATGATTACCCATTAGTAACTAGAATGCCTTAAAAACTTGTTGGGGAAAGGGGCAGTGGTACTATTTACATACTGTTACACAACATGGGCCAAATAATAGACAATTTATATTTTCAGCACCATTTTGCAATACTTTTAAAGAAATATCTAGCAAGGGAATTCCTACTACTGAAAAGTTTAAGAAATATTTGTTGCACATAGAATCCACACAAAAAAGACATTGATTCAGCCAAATATAATTAGAATGTTGAAAACAGAACTGGTGTTGGATAGGTGCATATCTGTATAATATATATGTGTGTGTGTGTGTGTGTGTATATATATATATATATTCTAGAAGCCCAGTATACGAAATTCGGGGAGGATCCCTAGTGGCTGCTGGCTGCCGGCCAGGGCCTCCTTTCCCTGACTGCCGGCTGGGGCATCCCTTCGTTCCGCACTGCCCCCTGGTGGTAAGCACACATCATAGTGAGCAATTGAACTCCCAGTCGGTTGAACTCAGGAGAGGATACTTTGTATATTAGGCTTTCATATATATAGATTTTAGTCCTGAATTATACAGATTTTATGAGATAGCCCAAAAAGGAAGAAGAATAACCCTTATGAGGAATGAAGTAAAGCATAATTTTCCTTCATTTTGGTTTCATACTCTTCATTACTCATTTTAAACCACCCCCACCCAAGGAATTTTAATGATTACTGCTGAGCCCTGGAACATGAGGCCACTTGTAACTTGGATATCACACAGTATAACTCCAGAAGGTTTAAAATACCACACTGACTGATCCTGCTCATCTAGAGTAGTATAGTTGCCTCTGAACTACCAGGAGAAGGTTGAGGTTGTTGCCTATGGGGATTTCTGAGACATCAGGCTTTGTCATGAGCAGGGAATCTTTACGTGCATTTCTAGGCTAGAAACTTTTAGGGAAGCAGAAGGATCCCTGGAGATTCTTGCAAACACATGACAAAGAATTAAATTTAAGAAGGAAAAGCTTTATTGTTATCAAATAGAAAGAGGAATGGCATTTAAGAAGAAAATGCTTTATTGTTACCAAATGTAGGTGGTAGAAGTGGGTGGAGTGGAGGGATCATAGGCAGACAGTAGAGAATAACAAACATAGATGACAAGAACAAGGATTACCAGAGGTGAAAGAGGATCAATCAGCTAAAGCTCCTACTATGTGCACCATTATCATTTTAGTAAGAATGCCTCTTTCTGACGAATGAATGGCCACAGGTCAAGGATGGATATCTTGAAGACTTATGAGATCTGCCACTGATACTACTAATTTAACTAGACTTAAGACAAATCATCTCTCTCTACCCAAAGTTAAAATAATATTCTATTTCATTTCAAGTTATAATTTATGTAGTAGTTATTATTTTTCTAGCTTCAGAGTGAGATGTAGAACAACAAATAATATTGGAATGTATATAGGTTTATGGAGTTAATAGTTTTATTTTGTCTTGTTTCCAGGAACCACTTTCATCAATTTATACTGTACCAACCATATTGGAGGAAAAGAAAATGCGTAAGGATAATGTGGTTCAGCTCAATTCATTGATTACCAGTGGTTATACCAAGAAAGTCAATATCACATTTACACCACGGAGGGTAAGTACTTTGGAAAGATTTTTCATAATGTGGTATAAACTAATGATGTCATTTTTCAAAGACTTTTTATGCAGAACATAAAAACAAATATCCAAAGGTTATTTTTCAGAGTTACTATTTAAAGGTGTCCTTTTGCTGACTCAGTAAGTCCAACTTGTTTAGCTCCCAGTATCTTGTTTTCTCGATTATAATTTCTATATTGACATTTTAATTTTTCTTGAAAGATTAAAGTCTTCTTTGGTCAATATCATTCCCTGTCACCATTTAGTCAACAAGTGCTATAGATACTTTTTCGTGGTACCTTAGACCTAACCCTTCTTTGTACTCAACACCACCAATTCCTTAATTATTAGTAGTAGATTTATTCAGTAGCTTCCTAAAACATCTACAACTAAACAGGTAAAGACATTTTTGGAGAATAAGAGTGGTCTGCAAATGCCCATCAAACCATGCCAAAAAAGAGACCACCAGCTCCCTCTGCCTTCTACTATGAAAATAATTCTGATTTCTCCATAAGACATAATGGTGGTAATCCCAAATGATCTTCTAATTCCATTGATTACTGGTTTTGACATCCTAAAAATGAACAGCAGCTGGCCCAGAGGTCATCAGAGAGGTAACTAAAGAGCATTTCAGTTGTCCAAATAGCACCAAAAATAGTGATGCCCATCTAACCACGGGTGCCGTATAAGAGGAAGAGACAAGTTCAAATAGATTTAGAAGTAAATTCGATAGTTTTGAATTAACCATATTAAAAAGTATCTTGATATAGCATGCGTGTGGCTGTCATACTTACACCTGCTCTGGCGGTGATTTTTCACTTAAGACCTGGAGTCCCGAAGCCACAACAGCAGAGCTGATCAGGAAGAGGGAGCTGCAGAGGGAGAGGTTCACTTATGAGGTGGACTTTGAAGACTTCATGATGCCCTTTCAGAAGAACATTACAGAGAAAGCTCGCGCATTGGAAGCTGTTTTCAAGAACTAAATCACAGAGGTTTCGTCTTGGGTTAAACATTTCAAGGCCCAGGGACCAAACTTTGGAGAAGGTAGATATTTCCATCAAAACAATCCACAAATTAAGTATTTGTAACCAAACATTTGTTTTTGCTTTAACAACTATAAATATTCTGAGCTGTCTAGAGAAGGTGTGTTTTATTTTGCAATGAATTGCATGTCATTCTGGACAAATCCCCCAATCTTCTTTAAGATTGTAGTGGAATAAATGGCATTTTAGTTATAAATATAACATTATTGTCAAAAAAACTTACCAGATGTCCACCATTATGTTTGCTAAAGATATAATTCTGGGAATTGATTAAAACAGTTTAATATTGGGGAAGGGGAGTTTTTAGTCTTTAAGGAAAGTGTTTGTTTCTCATGCATCATCGTAAGTGATGTGTATGAGGTGACTAAACTTTGACACCTGTGGCAGACCCTGTCAGCGCTTCACCCATTTCTCCTCTGCGGTGGGGTTCTAGCATTCTTAGGCCTGACTGCAGATGCTGGAAGGCTGCCTCTGACACTTAAACATGTACAGTAGGGACCAAAGTATGTGGGCATGAGAGTCTCCTGGAAGCAGCCCCCAATTAGTGACTGAACAGATTCAGTGTATGTTACCGTCTGGTGGGAGCCTTCTAAAGTGCATATTCTCACTGATTCCTAGAGCTCCCAGCAAGACTAAGATCAAGATGCCCACAGTGGAGATTTGTGTGATAGCACACCCCTCCTTGGAGCCCTTCTCTTCCCTGTCTTCTCACTTTCCTTTCACCCCTCTGGTCTTTATTGAGATCACCTCCCAAATACTTACACCTCAATTCTTGTTTCAAGGTTCTTTCTGTAAGGACCCAAACTAAGACAACATCTATGGTATTCCGATTCTGAGGCCCCTAGCAAATATCTTAAAGTGCACTCTCTTACCTTTTGCCTGCAACAAAATAAGCATTTCCCCAACTTAGAGGATTTGTCCCCAAGGTCTTAAGCATTTGAGAAGTAGTGCAAATTGTATTCATACACTACTTCATACTTCATACTCATACTTTAGACAGAATTTCCAGATGTCATAAAAATATATATGATAGAGAATGACTAGATATTATATGTGACTTTTCCTTAAGGCAAGTATGTGTGGGGCAAGAGATAAGGGTGAACTTAAGAGACCCACCATAAAACCTTAAAAGTGTCTTTTGGGCCTGGGGCCTGATCATACTATATTACAATTGTCAATTAGGAAACCAATATTTGAATTAATTACATGTTTAATCCACAGACCTTATTCAGATTTTGCTATATGTCCCAATAATATTCTATGGAGCAGAAGAAAATCCCAGATGGGCTGCATTCAGTTGTCACATCTCTTTGACCTCTTATGTAGCTTGAAACAGTCTGTCCATCTTTCTTTGTTTTTAATGACATTGGAATATTAGAAGAATTCAGGCCAATTATTTTGTAAAATGTCCCTCAATTTTGATTGTCTCATATTTGCTCAAGAATAGATTCAGGAGATGCATTTTAGGTAGGAACACCACAGGGTTTCTCAGTTCATCTTATAAGAGGCACCTGATGCTGATAAGCGATGTAAACTTTGTAAACCTTAATCCCTTGGTTGAAGTGGTATCTACCTGATTTCTCCACTATAAAGTTATTCTTTTTCCCTTTGTACTTACATGGATAGATTCTTTGAAATTACATACATTTTCTGCTAGTCCCACAACTCTCACCACCTAATTTTAGCATTTATGGATAATTCCTTCCTGAAATAAGTGTTCAAGGGCAAGCTTTCCTATGAAGACACTGTGGGGAGCTGCAGAGCACAGGCAAAGGCACTGGGCGTCTGGATTCCTACATCAGATAACAGCTACAACTATAGGGGTACTGGTAAGGCTATGCCAGTGCTCAAGGGCAATCCAGTGAGTTGAATTGGTGGGTCATCATCGTGGGAACTGTTGGCTGGAAAGCATACAGAAGCTGGCGGTAAGTGCATAGTATGGGAAAAGGGGCGCCAACAAGGTATTACAGAAATGTATATGCAGAGATAAACTTGAAAAGGAAATACTCTCCTCTAAACATGTCCTTATCTTTAAGTGAACACTTTGGTGAATTGGTTGAGTGTGGTTTTTACATTCAGCAGACCTGGATTTGAATCCTCACTCTGCCATTTACTAGTAGGATGTCCATAGATCAGCTACAAATTGTGTCTGAGTCTCAATTTCATCGTCTATAGCAGTGGTTCTCAACCTGTGGGTTGCGACCCCTTTGGCGGTCAAACGACCCTTTCACAGGGGTTGCCTAAGACCATCCTGCTGATCAGATATTTACATTACAATTCCTAACAGTAACAACATTACAGCTATGAAATAGCAACAAAAATAATTTTATGGTTGGGTCACAACATGAGGAACTGTATTTAAAGGGCCAGAGGTTGAGAACCACTGATCTATAGCGATAATAACATGCTCCTTAATAAGCTACTGTGAGACTGAAACGGAGTAATATCTGTAAAGCTTCTCGTTTGGTGCCTCCATATAGTTGATACTCAATAAGTGATTTGTTTTTAACCTTCTCTCAGCCTCATGTTGCAAGGTAAGGAGAAAAAAAAAAAACCACAGGAATGATGACACAGAACCAGACAATTAGAAGAATGAAAGTTCCTTGAAGCAGATTCACTTTCAGACTATCAGGTGAAGTGATTTAAACAAGTAGACATGTTCTTTATCTAGTTTCTATAATCAGAAAAAAAGAGTAGTACTCATTTGATATGGGAAAAGTTACTAACTCCAGTCACAGTGATTCTAGTGGATAGAAGACCAAATGTTTATTTTTCTTTTCTCCAAAGCCCAACAATTTATCCTAGAGTCTAAATAATTAGGTAATTAAAACAGTGCCTCAGGTAGAGTGCCCCAAAAAACAGAGCCCTGGATAGGGGACTCTTATGTAAGTGCTTTATTGAGGGAGTACGCCCAAGAGAAGTTTCTAAGGGCACAAGGGAAGCAGGATAAAAAGGGAGAGGACTTGAAGAAGAGAAAGTTAGCCTCAGCCTGGTTCCATGGGAAGCTCTAGAGAATGAAATGTGCCACAGAGATTGCCTGCCCAGAGGGCAGGGGCTGGCTGTCATTGGTCAGACCCTTGTGGAGGCAGAAACCTCACAGAGGCAAGGTGGCTCCCGTCAGCCAAAGGCAGTCCTTCTGAACCAAAAGCAGCCACCAACCACAGCAGCTGAACAATGGAGGAGCCAGATGGTAAAGGGGATCTGGGTAGAGCACCAAGAATATCTGCTACAAATGATACGCGTTTGGGTGCAAGGTTTGGGTACAAAGTTTTAGACAGTGACTTCTTGAAGATTATTCTGTATAACAAGCTATCTCTTTGAAAAATAACTTTTACAGACTTTCAAACTTGTCTAAAACACTCTTAGAGTATAAAGAATGAGCAAGAACAGCAATGAGGACTGATTCAGCAGCAACTTAAAAGGAGAAAGCAATTCACAAATCCCACTGGCAGTTTCCGTTTCTTCAAACTTGAGTCGAGTGTGGTATCAATCATTGAAAATTATGAACAAGACAGAATGATGCATTCAACCCCACACATTTGATAAGGTCATGTCTAATTGGTACAACTGAATCAACCCCAGTGCAATTAGTTTACCAATTTTTATTGAATTCACAATTTAATAAATTCACTGTGTAGCAATGAAGTCTGCCTAAGAGAACCACTCAGCCTATAGTTTGTTTTTAAGGAGGGTGGCATGAAAAGAAAGGAGAGATTTCAGACGCCTCTACACACGAACATAAATTTGAAGTAAATAGTCCATTGAACTGTGTTGTTATTTTCTAAATATTTATAAAAGGCATATTTTTTTCCTGGAGTTGTGTTTAACAGTGGATCCTGGGGACATTTTACAAATGAAGGTAGATGGGAAGTTTGTTCAGGTCAAATAAACTCATGCTAACATATTTAGATCCTTAGGTTATTGTTACATCATGAATTTTATTTGGGTAATAAGGAAGAACTGAATATTCTATCAATATTCTGAAACTCACTGGAGATTTTTTATCCCAGATCAATAGTTGAGCATTGTGTGATGTATGTTTTATTTGGGATTAATAATGATGGTCTTTCCCTTTTATCTTCAGTAAGTCAGTCTTTGGAGAGGAACTAACACACAAAAGATGATTTGATTTCCATAGATTTAATGACTTTTTTTTAACAAGATGATATGAAATATCCATTTATGTCTCTAAACTTGGGAGATGGTTATGTTTTTGTCATCAGGACATGCAGGGCCCAGTATGATGTTTCCCTCATAAAGAAGTTGGAAGAGAAATAAGTATTCCCTCACAAAAATTAAATAATGAAATAAACACAGACAATAACTGCAATGGTGTGGCTGACATCAGGACCAGATGCACTGAGCAAGGACTCCCTACCCTAGCACCAGTCAATCAGTAGAGACTACGACCCTGACCATCACCCTGTCTCCATGTCACCATGACTAATGATTTTTCTCATATATAACCCATCCCCTGAAAGCCATTGGGGAGCCAGGTTTTTAGCATTAACTCACCTGTGTCTCTGAGTATGGACCACTTCCTAAAAATAAACCCTTTCTTCGCTGCAAACTCCTGTTCATGTCTTACTGGGCTTTGGTGAGCCCAGGCGAACCGACCTCTTTTGGCAGGTAACACTGGAGTTTATTAGCTTTCCCTTTTGCCGCTCGCAGCATATCTATTTGTATGAGGCAAGCCTTCTCAATGGCTGCTTCTCATCCGTGTCCACCCGTTAAAGGGCTCCCTTACCCCACTGCTCTCCTATTTAAGCCTCAACTCCACCTCAGCACCCCCATATGCAAAAAAATTGTCAATCATGCTGAAGAAGTGAAGGGATTGGAAATGAACAAGACACAAGTAGTCTCAAATACTCGTTGCAAAGGACTTTGCAAGAGTTTTTCTTTTTTTGGAGGGTGTGGTGAGAGGCAGAACTAACAGGATAAAAACAGTGTTCCTAGACAGCACAGCAGCAGATAAATGTGTTCTGCAGCGTTACAATTACCCCTGTGGGCGCTCATTCCTAAATGTGCCACATGTTTTGTGATGCAAATGAGAGCACAGCCCCTTACATTTTCCTGTGGGTCCTGGACTCATAGAATCACAGCAGCAGAAACTGGCTGACAACAAAATTCTTTCCATTGCTTAGTAAAGCCTTTGGCTTTTCTTCATTCAATATGTGT